CGAATCTAACAACTTACCTCAAATCTAAATACGGCAATGTTTACAGTTTATGAGCAAATTTTGCCAAATGATGCTTTTGGATCAGTCATGTTACAAAATCTAAAATATCGAAATATAGAACTTCGTGGAATACATGCTTATCCTGATCTTGAAAGTCAAAAAGATAGATATTTATCACGAGGATGGACTCATGCTGAAGCTGTCGACATGAATGAAATTTATGATATTTACATAGATTCGAAGGAACATGCTAGGTATTTCATTTGCTGTTATTGGATTAATAGTGTTAATAGTCGATATATTATTAAATATTTTTGATTTGATTACATAAAATATAGAATATAAAAAATAAGAAAATGAATTAATTATTAAAATTATATCGTAACCGACCTATTCGAGCATCATCACCAATAATCTCTGATAATTCTTTATTTTTCCGAATAATTGCGGCTTTTTTCGCAGTGATTTCAGGAAAATCAATTTCAAAATATTTATAAAATTTTTGTAATGATGACTTGAAAAATGTGAAAATGTGTTTATTTTGGGCAATTTCGTGAGGAAAAAAAAAAAAAAGTTAAAAAAAAAACCTTTAAATTAAAATATCGTGTGTCAAATCCGGCACCAAGTGATATAATTTGCTTCCTTCCGTCTTCAATCCCCAAAAATTTTATTATCAAAGTGTCCAGTCCTTTGTTACGTACATACGATCCTATTTTTAAGTTTATATGTTTAATAATAATAAAAAAGATGAGTAGCTGATCAATTCGTAATCTCTCGATATTAAAAAACGATACTACCTCTGTTAATAAGAGGTGATCTTTTGGTAGGTCTTTTGTGAAAATATTTTACATAATCATCTTGAATATATCCTGCATTTACAGCAGATCTACATATATAACATGTTAATAATGATAATAAATAATGCCTTTCAAAATTTTGAAATTTCATTTTATGTACGGTTTATTTGACAATATCTTCACAACCATTGTCTATATGAAGCGTTTTAAGAAAGAATTATTATTTACAGTTTACTTGTAATTGCATCCTCATTAGTTCCGCGGATAGCATTATCTTGAATTGAAGTATCTTCGTCGGTGAGAGTTCTAAAAGCCATTCCTATTCAACTTTAAAAATTTTAGCGTTAGGAATCTAATTAATGCAAGGCCGATCGATCTTCAAACGTGTAACTCTTACATATCCAGAAATGTATACCACGGGCTGATGTGCCACAGTGGCTAGAGGGGGAATTGAAATGACGCAACTTTTAAATGATTTTAGTATCATTTGTCACAAGATCCAAAGATATTTGAATTTAAATTCTCATTAAAAACTAGTAAATCGCCTTTTTGGTCCTAAAAAAAAAATTTTCCTCACGTAATTTTACTATATAATAGCTCTCAAACCCAAACCCTAACCTAAACCCAGACCCAAACCCTAACGTAAATAAATTTTTATATGACGTCGGAAAATCACGTGACCAGAAAATCGATCCTATGCCCTGTCACACTAAAAGATAACGTTCTTTATTTATGACGTAATATTTTGCATATCATTGTTTAGAGTTCAACATAGTAAAATATTAAAAGAAAGTCTATTTTTTCTGGGCGTCACTCTCTGATTGGATGAAATAGATCACATTCCAAAATCAAAACAATCAACGTAATCCACTTTGTCCAATCAGAGTAAACATCCCTTATGATGTCATAATTTTCTTTTTTTGGCTTTGTTTATCAAAATTTAATTACAGTACTTAATCGTTATAATGCAAAATCTTTCTCCCCAAAAAATCAGAAGCAGACTGATCAATAACAACAACGATTCCACCAGAATAACGGAACCATTTTATTAAATGAAATACACGCAGCTGAAATTTCTTTATCGTTGACAACAAACTTGAGACGTATTTAGTAATGAAGAATCCATACGACACCTGAATCGTTTTAGAAGTTAAAGTGCAGATAAAACTTTGGTGGATTAACCCCGTTGATGGAATAATAATCATGGTACGTATATGAGTACTGCCAAGGGTAATGAGGCAAAGTCTCATTACACTCATTACGTATTCGTGGATCGATGTGTAATTTTGATTTATTGGATGGGGACAAGCAACTGTCCAATAAAAATGATGAACGATTTTAATCGTTACGTATCGATTCCTTGATTCTTATGAATCATTTGAATTTGACGCGTTGGCGGAGTGCAACTGACTAACAACATTAACTATGAAATGATGGCCATCTAGTATATGGCACCAAATTTTTTGGTTTTTTTTTTTTAGATCGATGTGTAATTTTGATTTATTGGTGGGGGAGTAGTTGTGTGCCTATGTGCCAGGGGCACTCTCTGCAAGCAACTTGCCAATAAAATATGATGATCGATTTTAATCGTTACATATCGATTCCTTGGCCTGAATTTAATGTGTTAGTGGATGCAACCGTCCAACAAAACATGATAGTCTTAAAATTTTATATAATTAACATATTTTTTTATTTCGGTTTACTAGATCTTTTGCCGAATGACTACCACTCCGATCACTATTTCGACTATATTAACAAAGCGCCGTGAAAGTTAAAGTGCAGATGAAATTTTAGTGGATTAACTCCGTTGGATGGAATAATAATCATGGTACGTATATGAGTACTGCCAAGGGTAATGAGGCAAGTCTCATTACACTCATTACGTATTCGTAGATCGATGTGTAATTTTGATTTATTGGATGGGGAGTAGTTGTGTGCCCACATGTAAGAGACACATCTCTACAAGCAACCGTCCAATAAAAATGATGATCGATTTTAATCGTTACGTATCGATCCCTGATTCTTACGAATCATTTTGAACTTGACGCGTTGGCGGAGTGCAACTGACTAACAACATTAACTATGAAATGATGGCCATCTAGTATATGGCACAAAATTTTTTATTTTATTTTTTTTTAGATCGATGTGTAATTTTGATTTATTGGTGGGGGAGCAGTTGTGTGCCTATGTGCCAGGGGCACTCTCTGCAAGCAACTTGCCAATAAATATGATGATCGATTTTAATCGTTACATATCGATTCCTTGGCCTGAATTTAATGTGTTAGTGGTGCAACCGTCCAACAAAACATGATAGTCTTAAATTTTATATAATTAACATATTTTTTTTATTTTAGTTTACTAGATATTTTGCCGAATGACTATTGTCAAAGAGTTAAAGAACTTTTGGGTTAATGCACGACCGGATTGATTTTACGATTGCCATTTGAATATCGGGTAAGTTCTCTTTTTCGATTGTTTTCTTCATTTTCTTTTTTTTCTTTTCATTCGCATTGATTGAATCCGGATTTTCACTCATATCATCAAAACGGATCCTTCTCTAACGTCAACTCTCATATTTACTGGGCGATGCACCTTTGCTGTTCCAACCTTCTTTTCCATCAACTATTTGACAATATACCACATCAAACCCATCGATCCTTTTATAGTCTGTTTCATTTTACGATTATTCAAGGTTTAACTTCAAGGTACGTTATGAAACCGGAAACGCGATCTGAAGCAGGCACGTGCTCCCGTGACCTGGTTATTTCCAAATTCGAACTTACCGGCCAGATCCGAATGGCAGAAACGGCGATTTGGGATTATGGGGAATTTTGACAATAAGGACATTTTTGTCAATAAAGGCATTTTGGGGATTATAAACGATAATGGTAGTATAAGCAATTCATGTAGAGAAAATAATCATTATAAAATAAAGGCCTTCTGGCCCTTGGGAAAATTAACTCCCGCCTTTGCTATAATCATACAAGTATCTCTAATAAACGTACAATCTTATTACTAAACGAATAACATAATACGCCTTAAATTCTTATATTCGCTAAGTTAAATTATAAAAAATATATAATAGGTGCAGAACCACCATAGATGCATTTTATAATAAATAATATACATACTAATTCAACTAGAATTATACTAGCTAAGTTTAGGAACTAAAATATAATTTTATTAAACCTAGCATGTAACCTATCATGTTCTCTGAACATAGGCATAAAAATAGGATCTGCAGTATTATTATAAATTAATTTTTGGTTCTCATAACATAAAACAAAAAACTGATCCGCCCGAACTTTTATTAAATTTTTTAAATTATAAAATTAAAATTTTATTTTTATAAGGCTATGACCCAGAAATACATAATAAAATTTTGGTCAAATCTATAACGATAACGGTAAGAATTCCACAGTTTTGTATATATATAAAAAATAAAATCAGACGGGCTGTTAGACTAATTAAATATAGTATTATTACCCATTTACTACCATTCAAATTATTAGTTTTATTACTTTTAAACTAGAAATGCGATCCGTTATCCATTTTCCTATTTAAGGATTCTTTATAATAATTTTGTTATACAGTAAGATTAAATTAGAGGATATTCGGATCGCATCTCTAACTCTAAACAAATATTCAAACCTGTCTATTATTATTAGAACTAGCACACGAATTTTGAGAATCATGCATAGGTATATTTTTAATGTACCTTGTACTGTAAGTTTATCTAGACAATCATTTTAAATAATAAAAATATTATAAAATAGAAATAAAAAAAAAACCAATTAAAATTTATTATCATTGTCTAAGCCTCTAAAACCTCGTACAATATATTCTTATAATAATTATCGTCCATCACGAGTGTTCTATACATTTTTACCAATCATTTTTTTCGTGTGAAAAATAAGGTACAACTTCGGAAATTTGCATGTCTTTACGCGACTTAAAGCTAATATAAATATGACAAATATCATGAGCTAAATTACGACCAATCAAATTTTATGGTGGTAATAGACGTTACCTACAACTTGCATTCTTAATTTATTTCGAATTACCAATTTATTTTAACGTTAAAAAAATGTTTTCATGGACGTGAGAGTAAACCTAATCCTCAAAAACGTATAAAAGATCAGTGAAGTCGTAAATTTGAATGTTACGGCATTTAATGGTTTTATCACGATGGCCAATCCATATAGTAGATCGTACAGAATGATTTTTAAATTCAGTATTTTAGAAATTACGGAAGATCTGGATAGTTGAATGACCAAATTATATGGTAAGAGTAGTGCTCGGCACAATCAAACAAAAATTTGACAGTCAAATTCTTGTGATTAAGTCAGACATCAAATGATCGCAGTTCAACAAATATATACTATATATTTAATGATTGACAATTTTGACCGGAATTATAACTGGTTTATATTTTTAGATAATTATTTAATATGTAGATTATTACATCGGGAATATTTTTTGTATTCAGATCAGATAATTTTTAAAAGTGCAGATTACGATAGAATTTTTTTAAAATAATAAAACTCTGAGCAGATTTACAAATTTTTCTTCAATAATCGCTATGAATTTGAAATTTTGCGCAGATCTGATATATATATAAATTATTAAAGATCTGCGCAGTTATGAGACAAAAAAATTACTCCGATGTATTCTTCATAAATGAATATTCCATAAACGCACTTTTTACCTAACATGTGCATTTATTAAAGGTCGACTGTATTGAATTTAGAAAATCTCTTCGAAATAACGCGCAGGTCAATTAATTAGCGCGCATGTGGGCGTTATTTCGCGCTTATACGGTAATCGAAATATTTGAAATATCTATGTATCTACCTATTATTAATTTCTCATTCGTGTTGATTTATGGTGCACTTGCAAAGCGCATCTGCTAAATGCTTTCCATCATTCCGGTCTTTAATTTAAATGAAAAATAATAATAAAATCAACGTGTAAATTATAATATGTAAATCGCTAGAAGTATTCGAATGTTCAATGAATATCCAATGAATTTTTGTTTTGTCTCTCATATATGGTCCAGGGGCATTGCAGAGTCCAAAGGGCATAACATTAAATTCATATATCTCATACTTTGTAATAAATGTAGTCTTTTCCCTATCTTTTGGATCCATTTTGACTTGTCAATATCCACTAGCAAGATCAAGAGTCGAAAACCATTTTGATCCTAATAAAGTATTTAGCATTTCTTTGATTCGAGGTAATGGGTAGATATCCTTCTTAGTAATCCCATTAAGTTTTCTATAATCAACACAAAATCTCAATTTGCCATTCTTTTTCT